TAAAGTTCTTACATGGATAGATACTGAAGGTAATACTGGACAGGTACAACCTTATATTTTGCCACATATCCCGTTGAATCTTTGGGGACGTGACATCCTGTCACAATTAAAGTTAATCATGGCCAGCCCCAATGAGGTGGTGACCCAACAAATGCTAAACCAAGGGTTTCTACCAGGCTTAGGCTTAGGAAAAAATAATCAGGGTATTACACGACCTATTTCCCTGGCATCTAACATAAATCGCCAGGGCCTAGGCAGTTCGCCTTTTTCTTAGCGGCCATTGACCTTCCTGTGCCCCATGCGGACAAAATACGATGGAAAACTAATGATCCCGTTTGGGTGGACCAATGGCCTCTAACAGAAGAAAAACTTACAGCTGCCACAAAGTTAGTGCAGGAACAATTGGCCGCTGGACATTTAGAAGCCACTACTTCGCCATGGAATACCCCTATATTTGTGATAAAAAAGAGATCTGGCTCATGGCGACTTCTCCAAGATCTTAGGGAAATTAATAAAACAATGTTTACTATGGGAGCTTTACAGCCTGGCTTGCCTTCTCCTATTGCCATTCCAGCTGGCTATTTTAAAATCATTATTGATCTTAAAGATTGCTTTTTTACTATCCCTCTCCATCCTCAGGATAGAGAGCGTTTTGCATTTAGTCTCCCAGTAATTAATTTTAAAGGCCCAATGCCACGTTTTCAATGGAAGGTCCTCCCGCAGGGTATGGCCAATAGCCCCACCTTATGTCAAAAGTTTGTTGCACAAGCTGTAGACCCTCTTAGGGCTCGTTGGCCTGGTATCTATATCATTCATTATATGGATGATATTCTTTTGGCTGGAAAATCAACTGATGAACTCCTTAAGTGTTATCAAGATTTAAAAGATAATCTTGCTTCCTCTGGCCTTCAAATTGCTTCAAATAAGGTACAATTAAAAGATCCATACTATTATCTTGGTTTCGAATTAAACAAAAAAAATAATTACCACTCAAAAGATACACATACAAGTATCACATTTGCAAACCCTCAATGATTTTCAAAAATTTTGGGGAGATATTAATTGGCTACGACCGTATCTTAAACTTACTACGGGAGAGTTAAAACCCTTATTCGAAATTTTACAAGGGCCATCAGATCCCTTGTCACCCCGTAGGCTGACTAAGGAGGCTAAAAATTCTCTTCAATTAGTAGAAAAGGCCATTAGATGTCAACAGATTACCTTTTTAGATTATGGTCGTCCCTTTAGTTTGATTACTTGTGCCACTGCACATACACCCACTGGAGTCCTATGGCAAGATCATCCCCTCTTGTGGATACATTTGTCCACATCTCCTAATAAAGTGCTTAAGACCTACCCTTCCTTAGTAGCACAGGTTCTTACTTTGGGCAGAGAAAAAAGCCGTCAATTTTTTGGCAGAGATCCTGATCATTTGATTCTCCCCTATACCAAAGAAGAGCTTGGTTGGTTATTACAAACTGATGATAAATGGCTTGTTTCCTTATCCTCCTTTCAGGGTAATATTGATAATCATTATCCACCTGATAAGCTCCTTCAGTTTGCTAGAAAACATCTGTTTATATTTCCCAAAATCACTTCTGCTGTTCCTCTGGGAGATGCTGCCCTAGTATTCACTGATGGATCATCATCCGGTGTTGCTGTATTTGTTATAAATAATCAGCCCTATAGGGTACAGTCCCCCTTTTTATCAGCACAACTTGTTGAGCTTTTTGCCATTCTTCAGGTTTTTGAGATGTTACAGAATATCCCCTTTAATTTATATATGGACAGCTCATATATAGCTTTGTCCGTCCCCCTTTTAGAAACTGTTCCATATATTAAACCCTCTTCCAATGCTGTTCCCCTTTTTCAACAACTTCAAAGTCTTATACTTCGAAGACAAGCTTCTTTTTTTATTGATCATCTTAGGGCTCATACAGATCTTCCTGGACCCCTCTCTCAGGGCAATGATTTAGCTGATAAAAATGCCCGCCTGATGTGCACCGTAACCTCTGATTCTGTTTCTCAAGCTACTCAATTTCATCAGCTACATCATGTTAATGCACATACTCTTCGCTTAATGTTTAAGCTTACTCGAGAACAATCAAGACAAATTGTAAAAAATTGTCCAGGGTGCGTTACATTTTTACCTCTTCCACATCTTGGGGTAAACCCAAGAGGTCTATTACCTAATGAAATCTGGCAGATGGATGTTACCCATCTTGCTAAATTTGGAAAATTAAAATTTATTCATGTGTCCATTGATACCTTTAGCGGCTTTATATATGCCTCCCTTCAGGGAGGAGAAGCCACAAAAAACATTATTTCACATGTGCTCCAATGTTTTACAGTTTTAGGCAAGCCTCAAATAATTAAAACAGATAATGGGCCTGGGTATACCTCCCAGGCTTTCCAAGATTTTTGCACCCGGCTTCAAATAAAACATCTTACGGGAATTCCATATAACCCCCAGGGTCAAGGCATAGTAGAAAGAGCCCATCAAACCCTTAAAAATACCATTTCCAAGCTTAAAAATAATGATTTAACTGCTACAAAAAATTCCCCAAAAAATATTCTTAGTCATGCCCTGTTTGTAATTAATTTTTTACAATTAGATAATAATGGTAGATCTGCCGCCGATCGCCTTTGGCATCAAGAAACTAAAAATCAATATGCACAAGTTATGTGGAAAGACCCTTTGACCTTTAAATGGCATGGACCCGATCCACTCCTCATCTGGGGGAGGGGATCCGCATGTGTATATAATACCAAAGAAGGTGGAGCACGCTGGTTGCCTGAGCGCCTTATTAAACCTATAAGTTCTATAAAGTAATAAATTTTATCCAGGGCCCTTTTCCCTGAGATTGTATTTCTTTTTCTTTTTCAGAAAAAGATGGAGACCCTCCTAATATTGAAAGAGCGGCAGAGACGACATGAGCTATCCGTTGTGACCCTGATCCTGTCATCTTTGCTGGTTGTTGGACAGGCTGAAAGCACTCCCCACTTGCCTCAAAATTTAACCTGATACATTACCATCGCCTCGCCATTACAGAAGCAGAACCAAAGGATGATTCTGGCTGCCCCTCCACTGGAGCGGCATGAAACAGAGACATGCCTACCCCCCTCTTTGATGGAGGGTATGGGTACCGAGTTGAGCGTGGCAGCAAAGCATGCACAAGGGAAAACGCGTATATATGTATATACAAGGTAATCTCTGTTATTCCCTGTGAGTATACCTGAATTATGATAGAGGTTGGTATCTAAACATTGTTTTTGGCTTTTAGTAGCTAAGATTATCTTTGGCTCTACCTCTCCTCCCCAAAAGATACCAAGAGCCGATGAGTGTGGACACACATACCTTGTCCACGGGAGGATTCAGGTCACTACTCCCTCACTCGGTTAATGCCCACCTCCTTAAAAGAAATAAAAAGGGAGGAAATGTTGGGAGCCAAGAAGTTTTCGCCATTAGAAGATGGCCGACACCCTGCTTCTCTTCCTGATTTATGAGATAGAAGTTCGCGCCTAAAATGAAAGCCCGCGCACGCAGCACCAATGATGATTAGCCAAGTACTTCCCTTATTCTGAATCCCGCCCCCCTTTCTCTGCAGTGTATAAATACAGCTACCGCAGCAATAAAAGTTTGAGGCTTGATCAGGATTTTGTCTTGCCTCCATTCTTTCGCGTCTCCTGCCCTTCCCCCTTTTTTCAACCCCCACAGGTTCCTCCTCGGACTCACAAGGATTTGTCCTGCTGGTCGGGACTCCCGGGGACGCCCGGGGCCGTACACATAGAATAAATAACTTTTTAGGTTCACTTTTCCCCCCAATTTTTATCTTGAAAATTTTTTTACTCAGAGAAAAGTTGGAAATAATGGCATGACAAACATATATTCTTCATTTAAATTAAACTATTCTTAACTTTTTGCCAATTTGCTTTCTTTCTCTCACTCTGTGTATCTCTATATATGGACAATTTTACTTCTGTGTACTTTTCCTAAAAGATACTTTTTAGAACCCTGACATAAAAAATTCAAATTCAATTAACTCTTTTCCCCAAAAACCTTTGCCAGTTTTAAGGATGACCTGTTTCACCCAGGCAATTTTCAGTAGAATCATACAATCATCATTTTTACCGGTTGGAAATGACTAAATGACAAATAATCAAATTTTTACAGTCATCTGGGTTTTAAAATTGAGAAAAAGAGCAAGCAATACCATCTATATTCACACAACTTCCTGACCTAAAAATTCTTAGCAAGGGACACTGGATGTTGATAAACACTTCACTAAACTAACAGAAAAGAGAACTGCTAATATCAATAGATAACCATCTAACCTGAACCTGTGGTTTTGAAGCCATGTGTCTAGTAAGAGATATAACATATAAAATGGATCAAAGAGAGGAATTTCAGGAGCTGCTCTGGATGAAGGGTTGTAGGTGCTTTCAGTCCTGTCAACGTACTCTGTACTTTGCTCCTCAGGCACCTTCTCAGCCCAGGGAGCACAGTTTTCATACAATTGCACAGTTTTCTAGCTTTTTAAAATCATAGTATTTTGATCCTTCAAACTACAGTAAGAAACTTTTTGAGGGGACAAATATCAATATTCGTTACAAAATTGAGGCTTTGGAAATGAAAACAAACCTTGTCCATTCTATATTTATGACAAAATAACTTAGCTTTACTACCTTAGTAAATGTATATCTTACAAATATTTTTAAACCGAAGTTCTCTAAAAATACACCACACAAAAATTTCACATATTTGCAGTTTTCGGCATTCATTAAGACCATACTATGACTAAAAAATCTATAATAAAATACAATGCAAGTGATAGTTCATCAAATTTCATTTGATGTAACATTTCTAATATTGCAAGAATATCAGATATTATCTCAAATGTTAATTCAAAGTGACAGTAATGTCAACAACAAAAAAAGGAGAGATACAAAGCAGCCATTATGCTCAAATAAATAAAATTATGGGATATGAAGAATTGTACCTTTATGTGGGTTTTCAAACTCTTCAGATAAGAGGTGGTAGCAACAACCCACACTGCAAACTCCCTTGATTTCAGACTTGGAAGTAAATATTCGCAGAGTATTTGGAGCAAGATCACCACAAGTATGCAGACCTACCATCAAACAATCCTTAAAAAATGAGAAGAAAAAATAAATTTTGGAAATTAAAAGGAGGGTTAAAAAACATTTAAGTGTTTATTAGAAGATGTAGAGCTTTTTAAAATGATGAAATTTTACCTAGAAAGTATTGTATGTCTTTTATTTTCAGAACAAATAACTATTGCCTTTAAAGGCAAAATGACCGATCTTTTACCAAAACTGACATAACTTTCAGTTGATTTTCTAGTGTTTTTGGTTACTTACTCATTTGAATTTTCTCTGGTTTCTTTTACAACTAATATTTGCTTAATGACTACTCAAATTAACGCTGGATCAATACAACATAGCCTGCATTACTAGGACAAATTTATGATTTGAGACACATTAATACCTTACTAGTCAATTTTTAAAATTCACTTCTTCACCCATACCCATCGAAACTTATAAAACATTGTCATAAAAAAAAATTAAGTGTTGCTAAAAGTCTCCTTAGTTCATTCACTGCACCAAATATGACAAGATTAAATTCAATATAAAGTTTTTGTTCTAAATTTTATAACACGAATTTTATGTAACACCAACACCAAAAGTTTACTTAGTTCATTCACTGCATCAAATATGACAAGATTAAATTCAATATAAAGTTTTTGTTCTAAATTTTATAACACGAATTTTATGTAAAAATTCTATGAAATGTTCTCCTAATTACCCAAAGCGTAATTTAGATGTATACACATACAGAATGGGTGCACAGGCATGGACTCACAGAATCTTGATCAATATATCGTTTGTTTGTTTTAACTCTTCAGTTCCTTAGTTTCCTCTTCTGTAAAATGAGGCTAATAATAGTATCTCACCTCAATGGGTTATTGCAAGACTTTAATAAGTTAATACTGGTAAATGACTTTGTACAATCTCTGGCATCCAGTAAAATTCAGTAAACGTCTTCTATTCTTACATCAACATCATCATGTTATAAATTCAAAATAATAGACATTAAGTTGTAATCAAGTATATTTTTATAACTATCTTCAGAACAAATACAATTTTTTCACTTAAGTTATTTTACCAAAAATGTGATTTTAGCCCATATAATGTAGACATAGACAGAGCTGAAGTGTTACCTTTCTGAAGAAAATTAACTGTACCTGTAAGTTGCTTCAACCTGATAGAACATTCTGTCGCTTCAACCAACATTCTCTTCAAAGCACAATTTCTGGAGTGTTGTGCAACTATTTTGCTTTTCTCAATGATTACATAGTTTGGGTAGGTTTTATTTAGACATTATAATGTTATAAATAAAAAAGGAATTCAGAGAGAAAGGGCTTATTGCTAATTAAGGGTAGATAACAAAGACATAAATCTCTCTCTTTTAGGCTAGTTCTCCCTAAAGATAACACCAAAATATTTAATCTCATTTTTCAGTGTATTCATCACACAAGGTTAGTTAAAAATACCAGCAGGTGGCAAACAAAAATACACAATCAGCATATTATCCTAACAGTAAAATATTTAAGTATTGTGTGTGTGTGTTGTAGGGTGGAGAGGGGAGGAGATGGGAGGTATTGGTTAATTCTGGTTATTAAATTGCTACTTAACTAAGGACCCAAGAAATAATCTTCCGGCATATCTTTTATAAGTCAAATGCTTATAAAAGTCTGCATATAGTTTTGATCATATATTTTCCAGAAGACTTTTAAAAACATAAATATATGATAATAAGCACTAAAAATATATACATTTTTAAGTCAGGTTAAAGTAATTGGGGCTGTTTAACCCTAACAGAAGGTTAAGCTATAACTTAATTACTGATTTCATATATAGGAAAAACAATTAATGAGGATTAACCGGTTTCCCATAATTAGTGAAATCCTGAAATATCTGGGAAAAAGAAAAATTCCCCATTCTAAAATGACAAAGTAACAAAACACTGGTTAGCTACCAAACAAGGATTTAAATTTATAAAGAATTCTGGTATCTTTTGTTTATTCATTCTTTAGGGAAGAATTTTCAAAAAATTTAACAAGAGTAGAATATTATAACTTCAAAGACTACCCTGTTTTTTTAAAACAATGAGTCAGGCCAAATGATTTCTAAAAACTCCTCTACAATATTGTTTTCACATACAATATTGTCTTTAAGATATATTATCTCTGCATAACTTGACATACTTGTACTTTAGAAAAAGTTCAAATTTTTTAAGAATACACAGAAGTTGGTCTTGCTCAAGAAAATTGCAAATTTGGTTACCAAGGCTAACATTAAACATAATATTGCCCTAGGTACATCTTTACCTCAAATTTAAATAAAATGTAAGAGCTTTCTTGGATTGGAATTTTAACAACTCATAAATTGTATAACGAGAACTTAGCTGACTAGCTTTTGTATTAGTACTTCTGTTTAATTTAGGCTTACAAATGAGTGGAGGGTACTCCCTTCTGGAAAATCATAATTGTCAGACTGTCAGATTTTGACAGCTGTGGAAATCATGAAAGCCTGAACATAATTTTATTTTCTTGGTCCTTTATATTAATGTAATCAAATAAGATACGCAGGTTAAGTAAGCTACCATTAAAACTAAATTCTATGTCTTAGAGCCTTTATATATAAATGAAATTAAGGAATTAAAAAAATAAAATTACCTCCAGATCTTTAATAATATCATGTAGTTCTGAATCAGCAGTGATAAAAGATGTTAAAGGTGAATATATATTGGATTCATTTGACTTTGATGTCATTTTTCTTCTCTCTTTATTTGCTTCAGACATTTTTCTCTTGGGTATATGGGATGAAGAAGTAGGTTCTATGGCATTAATAGGCAAAAGGTCCCTAAGAGAAAAGGCATTTTCAAAACACAAATTTTCTTCTCGATGTGAGTAAACATGTAGGTTTTCCATTTGTTTTCTGATGTTAGAAATTACAGAGCCTGAAAAATCTTGCAGAAAGTCCGAGGTCGACATCTTCTCTTGATTTGCAGTACTGCTGTTACATACTCCCTCAATATCGGCTTTAAATTTAATTTCATCTTGCACTTTCCTTTCTTTTGTCATTTGTAATGCCAGTCCATTGACATCTAATTTTGACCGCCTACGATAGACTTTCCAATGTTTCTTCAGTTTCCTGTTTCTCTCCTCAGCTCCATGAGTATTGGTATTTGAGGAATCAATTCCATAAACTTTTAAGCCATACTTCAAGGACAAAAAGGAGCTTAGGTAGCCTTTTCCAGAACCCAGGTCAATTATCTAAAGAAAACCAGAATGAATTAAAAGGATTTTAGTCAGATGGTAATAGAAAGCATTCGTGATATTCTTTTTAAAAAGCAAGTAAAGGAGTGTATAATTTATACAACCTGTTATGCTTTTTTTAATTTTAATTTTTGATTACTATTAAAAACCAACAACTCTCATTATTTTTATTCAACATTTTAAGAGAAGTTCTAAGCAGTATAATAATAAGTCAAGGAAAAGATGTAAAAGACATAAATATTGAAAGTAAAATTGTCTTTCTTCATAGATGACATGATTGTATCTGTAGAAAATTCTAAGGAATGCATACAAAAGTTAAAAGAACTAGTAAGTCAAGTTAGCAATGTGTCAAGATACAAGCTCATTAGAAATGAATAATGAACCATCAGAACATATGCATCACAGTAGTAAAAAACAATTAGAAAATAATTTAAAACCAATTGAATTAAAATAGCATACAAATAGAAATCTAGGAATAAATTTAACAAAGCTTATGCAAGACCTATACACTGAAAACTATAAAACATTGCATAGGAAAAATTTAAAAGAGCTAAATAAAGATATACCATGTTCATGAAATAGTTAGACTCAATATTAAGATGGCAATTCTGTCACACTGACATATAGATTCAATGCAATCCTAATCAAAATCCAAGCAGGGTTTTTAAAAGAAATTCATAAGCAGGTATTACAGTTTATATGAGAAGACAAAGTACCTAGAATAACCAAAACGATTTTGAAAAGAAAAAATTTGAGGATTTACACTGATTCAGGAATCAATATAAAACTACAGTAATCAGGGCTTCCCTGGTGGCGCAGTGGTTGAGAGTCCGCCTGCCGATGCAGGGGACACGGGTTCATGCCCTGGTCCGGGAAAGAGCCCACGTGCCGCGGAGCAGCTGGGCCTGTGAGCCATGGCTGCTGAGCCTGCGCGTCTGGAGCCTGTGCTCCACAACGGGAGAGGCCACAACAGTGAGAGGTCCGCGTACCACAAAAAAAAAAAGAAAAAAACTACAGTAATCAAAATAGTGTAGTGCTGGTATAAAAATAGATATATAAATCCATGGAATAAACAGAGTCCAGAAATAGACCCACAGTTATATAGTCAAATGGTTTTTGACAAAACAACTAAAGTAATTCAAAGGAAAAGATAGTCTTTTCAACAAATGGTGTGGGTATAATTGGATGTTTGTATGGGGAAAAAAAGATTTTTGCATGTCGTATGCCAAGCAGGCATATCTTTAATTCCTGCATATCTTTGTGACATTGGGAGGGAAAAAGATTTCTTATGTAGGACATAAAAAGCATAAACTACAAAGAAATAATTGAAAAATGGACTTCATTAAAATTAAAACCTTTGCTATTCAAAATACATAGTTAAAAAGGGTAAGAAATATTTGCAAAACATATATCTGACTAAGGGTTTGTATCCAGAATATATAAAGAACTCTAACAACTCAATAATAAGACAAGCCACCAATTAAAAAATGGGCAGAACATTTGAACACACACTTCACAGAAGAAGATATACAAATGACCACTATAAAAAGATGCCCAATATCACTACTCTTTTGGGAATTGCAAACTAAAATCATAATGAGATACACACAAATGTAAAATGGTACAGTCACTTTGGAAAACATCAGCAGTTTACCACAGAGTTAAAGCATACACTTATACTATACAACCTACAAATCCCACTCTGGGCTATTTACCCAAGAGAAATGCAAACATGTCCACAAAGTCTTGTATGTGAATAAATTCATAGCGGCCAAAAAAACTGGTAACAACTCAAATATCCATCAACCAATGAATAGAAAAACAAATTGTGGTATATTTATACTGTAGCATACTACACCCAAAAATGAGGAATAAAGAGTCAATGCACATAAAAATATTGATGACTCTAAAAACTATGCGCTAAAGGGCAGTCAAACACAAACATCTACATACTATTTGATTCCATTTATACGATGTTCTAGAAAAGTCAAAACTACAAGCAGAGCAGTAATTCCTTGAGAATGGAGGAGGAAATATCTTGCAAAAGGGTATGAGGCAACTTTTTATGGTGACAGAAATATTTTTTATTACAGTGGCTAAACAACTGCATACAATTACCAAATGCATCAAAGTGTACACCTAGAATTGGTGAATATATAAATTATACCTCAATAAAACTAAAAATGATAAAAGACATATAAAATTACCAAGATTGTTTACTGTATTGTCATGTCATTTCATAAGAAATAAATGGATTACAGAAATATTATCATAGGAAATCATTATCTAATCTCATTATATCTAATCTTTAATTCCTAAAATCAATTAAATCCTGACATAAGTATGAGCCACTCAAGGAAAATTTCCTATATTTGAAATAATGCATATCATCAATGAAATCCTCAAAAATTTCAATTCAAGCAAAATTGCAATTCATAGGTAAAACTCCAATAAATGATGTCTAGCTTACAAATAATTACCTATGCCCCCTTTTTAATGTTAATCTCTAGGCTAGGTATTATGGGAAATACAGAAGAATTATATATCTTGATCCTAAGGAACTACAATCTAACTGAAGATACCACACTCATGAATACAAGGGCTATAGAGTAGAAATTCTATTAATCAATTTCCCCATATCTGAATCTCTAGAGAAAGCAAAGCTCTCCATTCCCTTCCTTCTACAAAAACACATTCACTGATGCCAATGGCAGCTTAATGCTAGCAACCAATGGGTTGCTTGTAAGCACCAGGACATTTGTTCCCCCCAATACAGATGTTTTCTTACCAAGAGGTAATTGAGTTTGTTCCCAGATCTTCATATAACGATTCCACTTGTGAATGAGGAAAATTTTGGCTGCAAGTAACAGAATATCAAATTTCCATCACTGAGAAAACTCTCACCTCACTTAAGAAATCTGGCAGTAAAGTAGTTGAACTAACCAGAGGCTCAACCACATATGGCCTTTGGGCCAACGTATTTGTAATTCCTCTGGTTGCAAGATGGCTGGGGAAAATCTAAGAATCATGTCTTCACAATATAATATCTGAAACCCTTTTCAGTAATAGGCAAAATTTCCTAGAAAAATCTATCAGCTCACTTATATCTTACTGACCCAAATTGATTTTTATCCCTCTCCAAATTGGCCTTTCAGTAATATATACAGTGTTAGCAAGAGAATGGCAAACTCTGCAATTAAAGGTTACATAAATCATACATATTTTTGTCTTCAAACTCTCTTATCTGAGTAGCAAAACCTCCACAATCCTGATCTCTTACCCCTTATTCACAACCGTCTTTTCCTTCCTGGATCATCTTATAGGTTTGAAGATAGAGGAGTCTCCAGTGTAATACCTGGTGGGAGGTATCTTCCTTGTTTCCTAATTCTGCTTAGAAGACTTTCTCACAGAAATATTGCTACACATAGTGATTACATTTCTTAATATTAGTATTAGTATGGTACTATACTTCAGATAGGAGAGTTATATTTTGTTGACTGACCTGGAGATCTAACTACTATTATAAGCTAATGACTTTCAAATTTATAACTCCAGTATGGAATTCTACCATGAACTTCATACTCATATCCAACAGTGTACCTAAACATTTCCACTTGAATGTCTTATAAGCATCTCAAATTTAACATGTTCAAAACTAAGTTCTTGATAGTCTCTGTAAAACCTACCCTTCCCATAATCTTCTCCATCACAGTTAATAGTATCTCCATACCCAGGTGGAGAACAAGACTCCTTTCTTTCTCTCATACCCTCCACCTGAATTATGAAAAAATCCCTAGCCTTACCAAGGGTATTTCATACCAATTGCACTCTAAGTCTAGGTTATTGTAACAGCCTCCTCAATGATCTCCCTGCTCTCACCTTCCCTCCTTGAGTCTATTTTCAAGAGAGCAAGACAAAGACTGATCATACCACGCCTCTAAGTAAAATCTCTCATCACTTCCCTAAACTTATCTCCTGCTACTAACCTCCTTTGTTACTAAGCTTTTTGCCTCAACTCTGGAAGCTCATGCTTACATATGAGCTAATTTCTGAAAAGGACCAGCTTGAATGTCATGAAGACTATGCGAAGCGTGCAAAGGTAATGGAAATATTGGCTTGGCCAAAAAGTTCGTTCGGGTTTTTTGTAACATGTTACAAAAACCCGAACAAGCTTTTTGGCCAACCCAATATTTGCTTCATAACACTCCTCAACACGGCAGTCAGAGTGATCCAGTGGCTCCAACGGCTTCCCATCTCATTCAGGACAAAAGCCCAAATCATCACAATGGCCTCTAAGACTCTACAACTTCATGACCTGCTTCTGCCACCCCAACCTCAGCTCCTACTACTCTGTCCTTGCTCTCACCACTGGAGTTAATCTGGCTTCTTGGCTCTTCCAAGAATACAACAAGTGGGGCTTCCCTGGTGGCGCAGTGGTTAGGAATCCACCTGTCAATGCAGGGGACATGGGTTCGAGCCCTGGTCCAGGAAGATCCCACATGCCGCGGAGCAACTAAGCCCACGTGCCTAGAGCACAAGAGAAGCCCGCACACCACAACCAAGAGTAGCCCCCTCTCGCTGCAACTAGAGAAAGCCCACACGCAGCAACGAAGACCCAACGCAGAAAGAAAGAAGGAAAGGAAAGGAAAGGAAAGGAAAGGAAAGAAAGAAAGAAAGAAAGAAAGAAAAGAATACACCAAGTATATTCCTGCTTTAGGGCCACTGAATGTGTTATTCCCTCCATCTAAAAAATTTTTTATCCGGATATTCTAATGGATAACTCTCTTACCTCTTGAAGGAGGTCTTAACTCAAATGCTATCTTTACAACGAGGTCTTACTTGCCCCTCTCTTCCTAATCAAAAGCTTTAATACCCTATCCCTGAATTAGTTACTTCCTTTTTATTTTTTTTCTCCTTAAAGTATATCAACAGATACAATAAAATATACTTATAATGATTTTATTATCTATCTCTCCTCATTGGAGTATAAATGACATAAAGGCAAAGATGTGTTTTGTTTTGTTTACTACTGTATCCTCAGCATCTATAACGGCACCTGATACATGGTAGGAGCCAAAGAAATATTTAATAAATGAACGCATGCATTCAAGTGTGAATGAATGAACATATTTTAGAAATAAAAATTAAGAAGTAAGAAGCCTTGGTAATGGGGATGAGAGAGGCAAAGGTTTTTGGCATGTAGGGAACAATGTGGTTGAGGCAAAAACCAATTGTTTTTTTTTCTTCTCTAGTTCTTTTTGGTCACTAGTAAAGTTAAGATTTTAGTATCTGGGTTTCCAACTATCCCCATGAAACCTACATTTATTAAATCTGCTTTTTAAAAGTAAAAATAGTATACACGTCATACATTTCAAACTTAACTATTTTGAGAATCAAATATTGCTATTAAGTAATTTCAAGAGAAAGACCCTGTAAGTCTTTAATACAGGTTTTTTTCACTCACTAGATACAATCTCCATCACTATGAAAAAAGTTCCCTTAGAGAAGGTCTAACATGAAACATTATGCTATTTCAAATTTTTTTCTCTGCACTTTAGAAATAAAATAAATCCACTTTATTAATTTAAAGTTATTTATTGTGTAATATTTCATATAAATAAAAGAATAAATGTAGTTGAAATGTAAAGTTATAAAGCACAATAATAAATACCCCTCGAAGATTTAAGTATGAGTGATTTATTTGGGAGGTGAAGAAAACACTGACAGGGAAATAGAGAAGAGAAAAAAGAGAAAGGAAGAAAGCCCAATAAATAGTATGTTCTTAAGCAAAATACCACTTTAGGACAACCTGGGTTTAATCACACTGAGAAACTTGGAGAGCTACTGTAGAACACATACCTCATAGTCACCCCACCTGGAAAGTCCAGGAGTTGATGTATCTGTTTATCAACGTGTATTAGTCATTAATTCAAGGATGCTGACAGGGAGGAATTAATCCCCAGAACTTGTATGCTGGCAGTGCCATGCTTCAGCAGACAGAGAAAACCCACAGGAAAAGAAATGTAGAAACTGCCAGGTAGAAAGCAGCCCGGCACACCATGAAATGGTGAGGCCCAAGAGTTTCTGAATAAGGCCTCCAGTAGCGTCTGCTATAACCATGAACCCACCAGCCATCCTAAGAACTAGAATGTTAGTATTTCCATTTCATATAACTATGTTGTCTTTCCATATCCCATCTCCCTGCTTCCCCTACCAGAGGTAACAACTATTCTCAAATTACTGTTTATGATTCCCTTGCTTCTTTAATGGTTTTTTTGCATATATTTTTTGCATTAAGAATATACCATTATTTTGCTTAAGAGCTTTTTAAATATGATACCATAAAATACATAGTCTTCTGTAAATTGCTTATTTTTCCCAACCATTTTTATGTTTCTAATATTCATCCATGTGTTAGTACAGCAGCAGTTTGTTAAATTTTACTGTGTACTTGCCCTTTTTACTCCGGTTGAGTATTACTGTCATGGTGAGCACGTTACCAATCCTGATAGGTACTGCTTACATATGATACACTGGAGAAAAGGTTGAAAACGATTACCTCGGCTCTTGCCTTTTAGTTCCTACTCTAGAGATCTATGTTGCCATAAGTGGTTCTGCATGCCTGGCCCAAGCTGTGATCGTTTTCTAATCAATCTCAAACTCTCCACAAGTCTGAAAGAATACATGGAAAAGATTCTAACACCTAATAAAAACTGAAGAAGGGAAAAAATCCTCCATTACCCCCATAGATGTTCTTGTAGGGATAAGAAAAATAACTTACTATTTTTATAGGCCAATGGAGGCAATCACTGATTTTATTTTAACATCTATTTTCAGACATTACTACCCTTCATAAAGGCTATTTTTTACAACAGGAATGCATTATAATTCTGACACTATGAAAGAATCCAAGTTTCTTTATGTTACAATAATGAGGCAGGTGCCCCAGACCACAGCATGGTAACCCAGGTCCTTGAGAACACCTAGTGGTAAACAATTTTGCAGAATGCCATCTTCATAATGCTGCCTCAAATTGGAGTTACAACATAAGAAAAAAAGAATTACCATAGCTGCTATCTACTCTGGAAAGAGTGAAATTTGTGGCAAAACATTAACAGTCATATCTTATTTTTAGTATAAATTTGTTTTTATTGCAGTATATTGGGAAATGAGAGCATTTTTAAAGGATCAGATGTGATGTGACATCTCACATCAGCTATTACTTAATGACATTTTAAAGGCTAGACGGTGATAGTAGAAAAGGAAATTTGAATGATACCCCCCAAAATGGCAATAATTTAAACACATGAATATATAGGGAAATACTCTTACCTGCTTTATTCCACAGTAATCAGCAACACTGCTGATGAGCTCTGACATTGCCTGAACTTCATGAGATTTTTTCAAATTCATAAACTCATCTGGCTTCACATTTTCATCTGAACAAAAATAAAACAAAATTAAAGTACTGCTACTAAAGAAACAAAACTTAATAAGAATCATCAGTTGATGCTCATGTTTTCTATAATTAAATATGAAAATAATAGAGATCCTATTGCGGTGTCTGTAAGATGGATCTCTATTAGTTTAGCTGCTATGAATCAAATTTGAATTAATAAAATGAAAAGACTCATATAACATTCTTAAAAATGTTCCTTGAAATATAAAACAATTAACTACAAAAGAAAAGACTGATAACTAGACTATGATGTAGGAAAAAAATATGGAGATCTATACCTAAGTTTTCTGTTTAATATGGTGCATAAGAAAACCTACTCATTTAGAACAAATCAGTCTATCGGGGCTCATAATATAAGGTCTAACAATAAATTAAGAAAATGTTGGAAATATATACATATATGAACAATATATTGCTTCTAAATGCCTAAAAAACATACATACACACACACAAACACACCTACCAGTTCTCCGTTTTTGATTTCCACGAAGGGCTACAAGCAACTGTTCAAAAGGAGTACATATTCCCAAGTTTTGTACAGAATAATATTTAGCAGCCAGAGCGAAGGCTTCCACACTCACCAGCTTCTGGGAAGTTTCACAAAATATTTTCGGAAAATCAGTAATATCTAAAAAATCAAGATGAAAAGAATTGTTAGCAACAAAATAATCACTAGCTAATTTGTTGGAGATTTAAAAAACAAAAATCACCGATCTTATAACAAACTATAATATTTTCATTTTGGTGTGAATTTTGGCAATATCACTAATGCTTCCATTATATTTGTTATTTAAACTATTAGCTATTTGTAGCAGCCAGTTTTCTCTTTAATACACTATACCATTATACACTTAGATTCCAAATTAAAATTTGGCCTTTTTGTTGTGTTTTTAAAAGCCAAAAAAAAAAGAAAGAAAGAAAGAAAAAAATTTAAAACCGTGCTAAACTGTAATGCACTCATTAAATTTATGAATGGTCCTGGCTGACGTACAACTGTGAATTTAAAGGAGGTCAGTCCATCAAATGTCGTTACTCCCTGTGCACACTGCATGTAGAACAACAGCAATATTCTCAATGGTATAAATGTTATTGTAAAACAGTTCCTGCATCATATGGACCATGTAGAATTGTGTGGGCGTGTGTGTATATGTGTTCAACGCACTGTCAATACAACTTCTAAAACTAATCTGGTTATGATTAGGTGAAAACAGTTCACTTTCTTCCCATAGTCAGTTTCAAACCAGACATTGTCTAAGCTTCATACAGAAACTACTGATAGTTGCTGAATGCTCACTTTAGAAGAGTAAACTGCCACACTGTTTGCAACATCCAGTGTCCCTCTCTGCGTGAGGATCATTCACCCTGTTGAACTCAGATATGGTTACATCTCGCCAAGGTGAACTATGCCATTTTCAGGCAGAAGTTTTAAAAATATCAAAAGAATCACTACATTTTCTTTGCCCAGAACTGCAATTGTCAAGATAGAACCTGCCTCAGCCTGAGTCCCCAAGTGACGACAACAAAGGCATCACTGCTGTCAAACTACAATGAACATGTGGCATACATGAATAGTAACTTTCATTGTTTTTAGTCACTGAGTTTTTAGGCTTATTACTGTAGCATAATCTTAACTACTCTAATGGATACACATCAGTACAGATTTGCTTTTTATTTGTTCAGTTTCATTTTCCTATAGCCATTTTTAATGCATATTAATTTATTTATGAAGGTTTAAAGAAAGGCATTCTGATACGTATTAGTAGTTCAAAGAACTCCAAAGTTACCTATGAAATTATGAAAACCTACTTAAACACAAAAAACAATGATGCTCCCTGGCAAAAATTAAAAGAAAATTGAAGAAGGCTTGCAGAATGCTAAATAACTAAAAACTACATGTTTAAGACAGTACCTTTTGAAAGCTAATATCTATTAAGTTGATGGTAGTAATGTTTACCAAATTAATTAACTAGAAAATCAGCAGAGATGTATAACTTCCATTTCTGAATCTATTAAATAGAAATTTAAACTACAAGATTACTATAGTGCGTTTATTTAAGATACATTTTGTGTATTATATAAAGTTCTTTCGACATTTTACAAACTGAATTTACTAATGCAGCCAAAAAGTAATAAAATCCACATCAAAATATTTAGGCATGATACAGAGGGGAAAACTCAGTCAACTGTTAAGTGAGCCTCTCAGGTTTAAGGGCAGTCTCAACATCCCCAAGTTCCAGGGCGGCAATTTCTTAGCATGTGATAGAATAAGAGTAGTAAATTTCAAAGTGCAGAGGGGCTATTATAGTAGTCAGTTATTGGACAGTGCTGCCAACAGAAAGAAATGTGATGTTTCTGTTGGAAAAGTAAAGCTTCAAATCAATTTAACTATCCTACTAAAAATATTTGAAAAAATTCCAATCCAAGCCAAATTAATGTTGTTAATTTGCTTTTAATTATAGGCCTCCTAGTAATTTCAGAAATTTGGAGATCTAAACTGCAAAGATATTAAATTTTTAACAATGTTTCCTTTTATAAAAAGGATAGTGTTCTGATTTAGTCCATTGGTTTATGTCACTTAAGGCTACACCAGTTTATTCAGATAGTCTAGAACTCTGTGAAAAAAATCTTTTTGAATTATGAAAATATAGCTTTTGTAACTTTGTTTTCAAATGATCCAGCCTATAACCTCCATTACTTGCGAGTTTTAGAGATTCAGAGAGATGAGAGGTGTCAATGATCTTGTCTTTACTTCTATCTCTGAAACAGTATGTGAGGAAAGTTCCGTGGTGACAGTAATAGTATCCGTAGTACTCATAGTGCATTCCCAGAGACTTGCACACTGAGTTTGGGTTTGGCAACTAGCAAAATAAAAACCACAGTGTTACCCAACTTATTACTTAAATTCTTAATTAGTTAAATTTTTTACCCAGGGAAAGCTTCATTTTTAAATTTGATACCCATTGCACCTGCATATTCTGCGGTTTGATTGTTTTGCCAATATCTCCCTCTACTGGAAGTACTTGTTCTGCTTTATTACATGCTCTGTCTTTATTTACTCTTATTTTTTGTACACCCACAGAAGTTTCTTACAAGATAGGTTATTTGGGCACGAGGGAGCAAAGGCACCAGAGAGGCAAGGGAGAAGTTAATTCTATTAAATATGATATCAGTATATCCCTATCCTTTTTTTTTTTTTTTACAGCAGAGATCAATACACAAGGAAAGGTAGAAAGGTTATACATACACATGTTGGATTATGAAAATTTCAAGATAGAGAAATGAATAATAATGTTTCGAAGCTAAAAATAAAATAGAAACAATCAATGAATATATAATATTGACATCTAAAATAAAAAATTTTCAAAACTAAATGTCTGGTATTTTACTTGAATATTATCTAGCACTTTAAGGAAGACAGAGTACTGTTAGGATTCACAATTATCTCACCACTATTATTGCTAACATTTATTGCACATATACTATGGGCCAGGCACTGTGCCAAACAGTTGACATTTAATGGAACGAACTTATAAGCTAGTTACATCGTGCTCATATCCCCACTTACAGAGGAAGAAACCAAAACTTAGAGAGGCTGCAATTTAGCCAGGTTCGCACAAACACTAAGTAGCAAGGCATGTGAACCAAGGCTGTGGGCAGACCTTGTTCTTAATTCCCACATTCGATCAACATGCCACTGCAGTGAGTAACAAATGAAATCAGGAAAGACAGCAGTTAAAAAAGTGCTAGGCAGACTGACTGTCAGAATCAGGTCTAACAAGAATTCCCTCTGGCAGAGATCAATACATGGTAATATCTTTAAGACAGTTTCAAACTCATTTATCTTCTTAATTCTTTCACTTCCCTCACTCCCCTCAACACCTCCCTCTTTACCAGAAGTGATTTTAAGATTTCATGAAGTAAAAAGAGTAATTTCTACATTTAAAACAACTGATAAGTCTCTGAAAAGAAAATTAAAAGTTTTTATGATAAGATGTTGTTGTAGTTATCTATTTCTAGAAACAAAGTATCCCTACTGCTTCATGCCCAGTTGTAAGGCAATAATACCTTGCATATACCAGGTATTCAGTAAGTAGGGAATCAATGAAGGGATGAACGAAAGCAATTCCTCAATACATTTACTACTGTAGCATCACCAGATACACTAAGAGAAACAAATTCTAAGATTCTGGGGTAGTAGTTTTCACTGAGGCCACTACAGGGACTTCAACAGTACTTCGGAGCCTGTTAGAAGAGCATAAAACCTCATCTCAGCCCTAATGTTTACAATCACAAAGTGAGATAAAAGTGATTTAAAACATTTAGAATGTGATATAAAATACAATTATGTGCTAAATTCTGACGTTTAACTGTGTTACAGGGGTTAGGGCAAAGGTCACTACTGTTATTATCACACACCCTAAAAATGTCCTATGGTCCAGAATTTCAAGAAGTCAACAGTGCCCTCTTAATAACAATCTTCACAAGGACATAGAAATGTTATGGACTCACTTTTACATGTCCTACAGATGTCTCCAATTCAAAAAGCCCAAAACTGAACTGTAAGTTCTCAAGCTCACCAAACCTTTCCCTTTTCCTATTTACTATCCTGTTTAATAGTGTCATCAGTCACTCAGTACCGAAGTTAAAAGTCTACATTATCTTAAATGTTCCTTGTACCCTCAATGCACATATCCAGTCACCCATTAAACCTAATGTAAAAATGTCTTTCATTTGGGACCCCCCTCCCCCCCCATCACCGCCGCGGTTCAAACTCTATTAGTACCACCAGTGTTACTGCAGTAGTGATTTTTTTCCTTATCAATAGAACTCCCATAGCAGAATGCTCAGTAAGTGCTGGTTGAGCTGAATTGAACATGTTTTCTAAAATGGAAATCTACTTATATTCAATGCAAGTTTAATTATACATTTTAAGGCTTTGGCTTCTATTAACAGTTGACTTTAGGCTTCAATCTTTTATACTTGTTTAGTAGACTTCAGTCAAAAGTTAAAGCTGTCTTGCTGAACTATGAAAATTATATATAGGATATATTAAATTTTATGAATGTTTAAGTATATCCATAACCCTATAATCTATTTAAGGAAGAAACAGAATATATACTGTTGCTTTTTAAAATAAGTCAATTTATATTACTCCATTATGTGCTAGGAAACTTTTTGCATAAGCTCCAACATAATTTATGGCTGCATATGAATGTTATCTCAACATGTAAACCATGCTCTTAGAAAGAATGATATAATTAACAAAAATTGATATGCATATCCTTATTGTGCCAATATTAACATTACACTGAATGTTCCATTACACGGAACCATTTCAAAAGCATTTTCACATTAACTAAGTTTTTACAGAAATCAAATTAAATATAAAAACAGGAAAATCTAACCACAGTACTACTACTCTAACAAACCCTTTTCATAGTTTAATTTGAAGGAAAATAAAAATATCATACAAAGAAACAGAAGTTTAGAAAATTGATTTGGTATATAAAAAATAAACTTGTTAAAAAATAAACAATTCTGGGATGCCTACGATGTGCAAGGTAATAACTGAACCTGATAAAGCTAATTTGTTAACAACTCATGATTCATCTACGGGATACAGTGTCT